TTCTCCTCTTCCTCTTCCACCTCCTCCTCTTCCTTTCCTCCTCCTCCCTCCCTTTTCCTCTTCCTCTTCCTCCGCTTCTTCTTCCTCCTCCTCTTCTCCTCTTCCTCCTCCTCTTCCTCTTCTCCTCTTCCTCTACCCCTTCTCTTCCTCCTTCTCCTCCTCTTCTTCCTCCTCCACCCCTTCTCTTCCTCTTCCTCCTCCTTCTCCTCCTCTTCCTCCACCCCTTCTTCTCTTCCTCCTTCTCCTCTTCATCTTCCTCCTCCTCCTCTCCTCCTTTTTCTTTTTTCTTTGTGGTCAATCAGGGAGCTTGACCTAAAGTCAAATTACCATAACTCCACAATCATGTCCTCCAAGCAGGATTAAGCCCCTACTCAGTCATAGCAGCTTCCCCGACCCTGAGAAAACAGTGTTTCTCTTTGATTAGGCCACCTTTGAAGTTTCTCTATGGGCTATTTTAAGGTCATTAACCACGAATGGCCACCTCCTACTGCCCAGCTTTCTGTGAGGGGGTCAGAAATGTGTGGGTTCCTCCATAGAAAAACAAGGAAAGACCCCAGGGCACAATCAGAAAGCACAATCTATCTTGAAGGTTACATCACCCAAACCTAAGATTAGCACTTTAAAGAGATTTAGGCCAAATGTTTGCAATTTCCCCCTGTCCTCCTTTGCCATCCACCCTACAGAAACCAGACTGGGATGAATTAACCATGCAATAGATTAGGAACCTGATAGTCTCAAGGCTCTTTTTAAAACACTGTATCTCAAAAGTGAACCTTAAATTTTCTGGCGTTTTATGCCAAAATTTTCAGGATCCTTTTCACGGCAAATTTAATGCTTCTACCTACAGAATCCACTGTGTGGGGGGCTGGTAATCTGTTTCTCGTTATCTGGGTGAAGAGGTTACTTTGGCTAAATTTGCAATAAAAAAGGTGATCCTTTTCATTGACTTCGCTTTGATGTTGCAGGGTCACCCCGGAATATCAGGAGAAGTTGGGGATCCTGGCCTCCCCGGACCACCAGTAAGTGCCATCATTTTTTCTTTGCAAGAATTTCTTCTCATGCTGTTTTTGATACTCATGAATTTTGTTTGGATTAAGATAGAAAATTCTGCCAGGTATAATTTGGAGCAAACTCAGCTTATGAATTATTGCCATCAAGACGTATAAAAGTGTTGGAAGTTCCCCCTCCCCCCGAGAAAGAAATATTTTAGGGAGTAATATTAAGAGGTACAGTATTATACTGTATTTCCCCAAAGGAGAAATGCTCCAGCCTTTCTTAACAGCTTCAAGTGGAAGCCTCAACTCTTTAGAGATGGATATTTTGTACCGATAAATAAGAAAGACTGGGTCAATCTATTCATACACAAAACTCCTTCAGCCACAGCTCCCACAGCTGATGAGTTTAAGAATTTACACACACACACACACACCAATTCTAAGGATGGGACAGGACCTTTAGGACATAATAGGATTAACCCACCACCATGGAAATAGTAAAAAACACAAGGCTCACTGCACTGCACACACCCCCTGGAGCATCTCAAATGCAAAACCTCAGAAACCCATAAAGATCCATTCGCTCATTCAGCCATTTTGTCAGCCAGAAACATGTGCTACTGTCACCGAAGTTTCTGGAAACCAAATAAACCTTCTTTCCTTGCAGTCAGTCAGCCTCCATTTTATTTCCAGCGCCTTTCTCCCGGCTTGAAACGGGACTGGATTTTTCTTCCCACAAAAATAAACACTTATCAATTTTTTAAAAAATGTTGATTAAGGAAAATGCCCAATGTATTTCCCTAAAGGTTTGTTCAGTTTCTTTTGACTCTACCAAGCAGAGGTTACCTCTGAATGAACTTCACCTGAAAAATTCCATCTCACAAGACCTGATGGTGAGTCCCAACGTATCTGAGAATGTTGTTTCATCATTTTCAAGGGGTCCCCAGGAGTTCGTGGCTCCCCAGGGATAAGAGGACCTAAAGGCCGGCGGGTAAGTGAAATTTACTATATTTTCTGGAGAATTTAGAGCAGAAGCAACACATTTCTAGGATTGCTGATTAGACAACCATCAACGAACTTAAAAGGCATAGCACAGTTTTGTAGCTCTGAACTCTTCCTTTTAGTTCTCTTTTATTTTCCAAGCCTGAGTAGGAGGTGACAACTGCAACTTCAAATGACCCACAATAAAATCCATGAAAGGGATAAAATCATGATTTTTCCAGCTGCAGGAGTTGCTTCTGTTGTGCAGATCTTTTCATGTTTTGCTATGGCCTTCTAGATGTTGAAACCCACTTGTTTGAACACCCTGCTGGAAGCTCCATATTTCATTCAACACAAATCTAGACACGTTCATGAAGAAACGTGGGTTGGGTTAGAGGGAAACAACCATTGGTTGGGATTAAAGCACGCTTCCTGCCAAGCTAGTTGAAAAAAGATTGGTTGGATGAGATTCTTCTGGACAAGTTATTGATTGATGGATGGGCCTTTTGCACAGCCAGTTGTCTTATTTCTTAGTCATTTTTCAGGAAAGGGAGATGCCCAATTCTTTCTTCCTACTAACAGAGCATTGAATAGTTGGGGACTTTCCTCTCCTACTCCCTGTGGCAGGACTAAACTATTTTGGAGGAATGAGTGACGGAGAGGAACCCGGGTCTGTCCAGAAGGGATTCGTGGAAAAATATTCTCCTGCAATTCTTCCGGAGCCAAAATAATCTCTGTCAATGACGCTTACATCTCCAATATTTTGCACCACAAAGAGCTAACGGAGCCAGAAGGAAGCTTCTCTTTGGCTCCTGTTTGCTCTCTCTTTCCCCTTCTCTTTTTCACAATTTTTTTTTCCCTCCCAGTGCCAAGTCTGTATTTCCAGCAGCAACTTCACTGCAACTGCGGGTTTTTTTTCCGGCGACGTCTCTGCCAAACATTCTCCACTGCGTACAGCTCCTGTGCTTGGCTTCCCTTCCAGGAGATCTGGGATGAAACGCTCTGGGGATGAAGCCTGGCGCCGGTGGCAACGTTTTCCAGCTTGCCCTCAACCCAAAAGTTTTGGAAAGTTGGTTTTCCTAAGGTGAAAATCAGACCCAGCGGGGGGGAGGTCTCCTTTGGGGCAGGAGAAAGAGCTGGATTCCAAACAAGCACAATATTCGGTATCCCGGATCCTCAACTCTGCTGTGATCTACAGGAGACCAAGAATGTTGAAGACCTTCACAATTCAGGGAAGACCTTTAAGAATCTGAATGGAGGCCAGGCAAGTTGCTTATAGCCAAACTCCAGATACCACAGTCTTTACATGGGCTTCAATTAATGACCTATTATTTTGAGGAATTAGACCACAAAGGAGGCTGAGCGCTGAAGAATTGATGCTTTCCAGTTGTGGTGTTGGAGAAGACTTGTGAGAGTCTCTTGGACTGTGAGGAGACCCGATCAGTCAGTCCTGAATGAAATCAATCCTGACTGTTCTTTGGAAGGGCAGATCCTGAAGCTGAAGTTCACATACTTTGGCCACCAAATGAGAAGGGAGAACTCCGTGGAGGAGACTCTGATGGTGGGAAAGGCGGAAGGCAAAAGGGGAAGGGAACTGTGATGACCTGGGGCGTGGCACAAAGGCAACACAGTCAGATAATCAGTAGGAGTCCCTTTATTAGCTCCAACTGTGCCCCCAGTGTCCTGGTTACCTTCTGGCTGGAGAAAAACTCTCCCAGGAACAGCCTTTGGCTGCAGAGAATCAAGTCCAAAACATGGTCAACAAAAACTGCAACTATAAGTCCAATCAAGGCAAAATGAGGTAATTAGTTTGGCAGGGCAGGAGAAGGAATTCCAGACTTGAAGGCATGGTCATAATTCAACCCGGTTGGGAGGATGCCAGGAACGCAGATAACCAAAGTCAACACAAGATAAACTCATGTTTGTTCCCAACAGATGCCACGCTCAGCTTGCATCTCTTTTAAACTCTTAATCCCAGGTGTGGCTAATGAAGGGAATCAGGGCCCTTTCCTCCCCTGTAAGCCAGGCAACCCACGTTGCTCCTTTCTCTGTTCCTCCCTGCGTGCCCTAGAATGAAGAGGAGTGGGCCTGGGTCTTCCTCTGAACTCCCTCTCCCTTGTTCTACCTCTCCCCTGCTCTGCCCAGCCAGACTTTGCCCTTCCCCAGTTTCCTCCGCAGCCAAGGAAGCCATTCTCTTGCTCCCTGTCAGCTGTTCATCTTCCTCTTCGGATTCAGACTACGACAGGGGCATGACAGGGACATCAGAGGATGAGATGGTTACATAGGGTCATCAAGGCAATAAATGTCAATTTGGGCAAAGTTCGGGAGACTTTGGAAGACAAGAGAGCCTGGCCGTGAAGAGTCAGACATAACTTAGTGACTGAACAACTGCCACAAAAACAACACTGATAATTCTGAAGGAAAGAATTGGAAGCCTTCCTCCATCGTTCCCAATTCCTCACCAAAAACTGGGGTCTTCTTTTCAATTTTGGAATATCAAATTGAGTTCCTCTGGATGGCTCTCTCTTCCTGACTTGTGGAGAGCTTTCATTCCACATTCATTCTTGATTTGAGTGCATTGTTTTAAGAACTTGGATCTGCTGAGTAGTTACAGGAGACCTCTTAAGCCTCACCAAACGCTCGCTTCCATCTCACGGAGACATTCTCTGCTGTTTTGGGGGAGACGGAAGATGGAGATAAACTGTTTCAACTTCTCCCCTCCAAGTGATACTATAGGGCACTGCACGTCAGAACAACTAGACACAAGGACCGTTTCCATCCCCCCCCGCCCCCAATGCCATCACTCTGCTAAACAACCAATTCCAACATTGACAAACTATCTAAAAAGGCAGTATTGCCATCATTATTCTCATCTTCCCTATTACCTATCCCCTACACCTATATATTACTTATAGCTATACCAAACTATAACTTTGTTGCTTATCACTATTGTTATATGTACATTGAGAGCTTACACATTGAAAACAAATTCCTTGTGTGTCTAATCACATTCGGCCAGTAAAGAATTCTATTCTATTCTATTCTATTCTATTCTATTCTATTCTATTCTATTCTATTCTATTCTATTCTATTCTATTCTATTCTATTCCATGCCATTCCATGCCATTCCATGCCAATTTCTATCCTGTCCTACCCTACCCTACCCTACCCTACCCTACCCTACCCTATCCTATCCTATCGTATTCTTATTCTTATTCTGTGTTCTATTCTCTTTTCTATCCTGTTCTGTTCTATTTCTTTTATTTCTTCTGCCATGAGAGTTTCTTGGATTGCTGCATTGTCCACAGACCACGAAGGATTTATTTATAGCTTTCCATGTCAGTGAAAAACAGCCCAATTGTGATTTTTTTCCAATCCCTGTTCTTTTCTGGAATAGGGTTCCCCTACAGATCAGCCCCGAACTTCGGGGTAATACGGAAAAATTTAAAGTTCTCCTCCTTTGAAGTCCCCTTCCACATTTCCCACAAGTCCCTGGGTCCTTCTGGGCATTGTGGGTAACCAAGATGGCAGGAGGCGAGCTGGAACCAGACCGCTTGAGATCATTCCAATCTATTCTGCTCTTGAATTTCTACTTAACTGTCCCTGGAAGAAAAAAGAATTGCTCAAGTTCCCCCCCCCCCCACACACACACTTCCAATGGACACCCAAACAGCTCTCTTGGTCCCACCCTTTTGTAATTATCTCATGAGAACAAGTCCCTAATTTTATTGACATTACCTCCCCTCCTCTCCTTTTTTTGGTTTTGTTAAGTTTCTGAGGAAAGCCCCTGGCTATAATTTTAGATGCCACAGCTCTCTGCCTGCCCTCTCTGTCTGATCTCACATCCAAAAACATAATTCAAGGCAGAATGGAAAGCTGTTCCTTTCTCTTTCTCTCTTTTCTCTCCCCTCTCTCTTCTCTTCCCCTCTCTTCTCTCCCCTCTCTCTTTTCTCTCCCCTCTCTCTTCTCTCTCTCCTCTCTTTTCCCTTGTCTCTGTCTTCTCTCTTCTCCCCCTCTTCTCTCTCTCTCCTCTCTCTCTTCTCTCTCTCTCTTCTCTCTCTTCTCTCTCTCCCCTCTCCCCCTCTCTCTTTTTTCCCTTCTCTCTCCCTTCTCTCTCTCTCTTCTCTCTCTCTCCTCTTTCTCTCTTTCCCTCTCCTCCCCGCCCACTCTCTCTCGTTTTCTTTCGCCACTGCCTTTGTCACAATTGATCTCACGTTGTGCTGTTTCGGAGCCCTTTCAAAGGCAAGGGGATGACTCAGATTCTGGTTCACATTCAGAAGCCCCAGTGTGATTTACGAGGGTCTCAAATTTAGCAATTATAGTGTTGGAATGGAAAAGAACTCCATGTCAACTTCTGGGGGGTGGTGAGTGTGGAGAAAACACCCAAACCCCAAACTAAAAACAGACATTTTAAAATGACTCTTCTCTCCCGTGACAAAGACGGAACTTGCCTCTCGTTGGGTCTGCATCCTATTTCTTGCATGTTTGCACCAGAGAGGGATGTTTGTTTGTTCGGTCCTTTGCAAATTGTCGTTCGTAATGAGACCCTGATTTTCCTTTCCTTTCCTTTTTTTTTTTTTTATGCAATGATTTTAATCCACCCCCCCGATTAATCCTCACCACATGCGGAAGATCGCACATCCTTCAACACGAGGCCTTGGCTGACACAGTGTGGCCTCAGCACAATTCAACCCATGTGCTCTGGAAAATGTCGCCCAGTTCTTGCAAGATCAGGTTCCCTTTGCTGGATAGAAACCTGGCTGGCAGGATAAGGAACCTGTCAAAAGTGACAGTAATCAGATAAGCTGAAGACATGCCCGGAATCTGGAGAGCTTCTCCTTGTTACTTTGTGCCTTTGGGACCATGGGGAAGGCAGGGTGAAGAAGAAACCATTTGCTGCGAGTTGCTTCTGCTAGAAAGGGTTGTGGCCCGCTTGTAAGCAGGAATGGGCTGTTCGGGGTTCACAGGGGTTCGGGAGGGACTCTGTGCAGTTCAGAGAACTCCCAAATTCCACACACCCTACCCCTCCCCTCCCAGGAGTCCCCATGCAGCCTGTTTTTGGTGCAGGTAAGTGCAGGGTGCACGCGGAGACGCAGGGAATGGGCCTCCTGAAAGTTCAGGAAGGCTGGAAATGGGCCCGTTTTTGGTTTCTAGAAAGCCTCCGGAGTCTGGGGAGGCTGTTTTCACCTTCCTGGATGCTCGAGAAAAGCCTCAGGAGCCCGGGGAGGATGAAAATGCCCCCTGTATCATGCAAGAGGCTGCCACTCCTACCATGGCCGCGGCCACCCAGCAACCGGTAAAGAACCCCTGGTTAAAATTTTTGAAGCCCATCCCTGCCTGCAAGGCATCCATTTCCTCTTCTGGATGGGTTGATTCTCAATTGATTGATCGACATGCCATCCAATGAGGGCCATCTCTTAGTGCCCAATGTGATAGAACTTCTCCTGGAGGATCCTTCTGCTCTTCTAATGGTGACCCCTTTCCTACTGTCATAAAACCCATCTGCCTTGCTCCAGGCCACCTCTTCTTCTATACCTTCAACTTTCCCCTGCATTAAGGGAGCTCTTGCTTATAATTTTACTCATATGATATTCCTGCAGTTGAGTTCTTGACTGAATGAAGAACTACTGGATATCAAGGAGGAAATCGGAAGGAAATGATGAGATGAGAGGCAGTAGGCTTCTGTCCATCAAAATGGACCTGCGAGTCAGAGTTTCGCTTGTTTTAGCAGCCTGGTCTTCTTCTCCCGTGTCCTAAACCATGTCTCTCTCTCTCTCACCCTTCGGCAAACTTGGTCACACATTGATGTTCAGATTACGGTTTGACTCCAAACTTAAACCTGGTCTACAAAACTTGGTTCTGTTTCCTCCTTCACTCCCGGCCAATATGTACATTAATAGTTTGCCCGGTTCTGAAAGCTTGTTGAGATGCCTTCTCCCATCTGGGAGGAAGATCCTGTCTCAGAAACGTTCCAACGGAGAAGTTCAGAAGTTCTTCAAACAATAACTGATATCTCCAGATTTCCTTTTCTTTGGGTAGCATTGTGGCTAAACATTTAGACTTCTGGGTGTCTGGATTCAAAGCCTGTCTTGACCAGGATGATGGACTGTTTCTCCTTCACTCCTCACATAGATAAGAAGGGAACCTTCAGCTTCCAACGTGGAAGCGGAGGATAGAAGTGGAATACTAAACGAATACATAGAAGGAAAAATGGGGACTGTAGGTGCCTTTGAAACGGGACCCCCAGATTCAGTGACAGAAATTCCAATATAAAATAGGAGGATTAAAGTTCTGCTGGGCTTCAGATAAGCTCTAAAATGTGGCAGCATTCTAGACCCACTCAAAATGGGGAAAGAGGTGAAAATCCCCCCTTCTCCCCTTGAGTGACGCTGAGCAGACATTGCACTGCAGCCAAATGAAAATAGACATTAACAATGGCTTATTAACAACCTGGATTAGATTTCTAGCATCAGAGAGGTACCTATCATTAAAAAGATAAAGGTTCCCCTTGCACATATGTGCGAGTGGTTTCTGGCTCTAGAGGGCGGTGCTCATCTCCGTTACAAAGCCAAAGGCCAGCGCTATCTGAAGACGTCTCCGTGGTCATGTGGCCGGCAGGACTAAACACCGCAGGCGCATGGAACGCTGTTACCTTCCCACCAAAGGGGTCCCTATTTTCCTACTTGCATTTTTTACGTGCTTTTGAACTGCTAGATTGGCAGAAGCTGCTGGGACGAGGAACGGGAGCTCACTCTGTTATACGGTGCTAGGGATTCGAACCGCCGAACTGCCAACCTTTCTGATCAACAAGCTCAGCGTCTTAGCCGCTGAGCCACCGCTTCCCTATGGCAGCATTCTAGACCCACTCAAAATGGGAAAATCTTCCCTTGAATGATGCTGAAGAGTCATCGCACTGCATCCAAATGAAAATACACATTAACAATGGCTTATTGACAACCTGGATTAGATTTCTAGTTTCGGAGAGGTACCTATCATTAGACCTTCTGTGATCTTTCCCCCCACACCCCCTGGCATGTAAAGGGTGTGTTTACCTTTGTGACCTGGGTGTGCTTTATTTTCCATCTCTCCAAGGGCGCTCGAGGTCCTGATGGAATGCCAGGTGAAGCAGGGGCCCAAGGTCCAAAGGTGAGTCATGTTCCCCTTTCCCCCAATCAAAAATGCGAAGTCATTCTTGGACATCTGACACAGTTGGCCCGTTGCATTGCTAGAATGCAGAGATTGGATCTTTTCCATGATTCTGGGCCAGATTACAGGAGTAACAGATGGGAAGCATGAATGTCAAATGTCTTTGCTACTCCTGCCATTCTGTGTCTGATGATTAGATTCTGTTGCGAGAAACGGGCCTGGCTAGTCTAGGGAAGAGAAGGATCGGGGAAGACATGATAGCAGTCTTCCAATATTTGAGGGGCTGCCACAGAGAGGAGGGGACCGACCTATTTTCCAAAGGACCAGAAAGCCAGACAAAGAACAATGGATGAAACTGACCAAGGAGAGATTCAACCTGGAAATAAGGAGGAATTTTCTGACAGGGAGAGCAATCAACCAATGGAAGAGAAGTGGTCTTCAGAAGTTGTGGTGGCTTCATCACTGGAGGCTTTGAAGAAGAGACTGGACTGCCATCTGACAGAAATGGTGTAGGGTCTCCTGCTTGGGCAGGGGGTTGGACTAGATGACCTACAAGGTCCCTGTTATTCTGTATTCTCCTGAGACTGAGAGGTGGGCAAAGTAGCTCATGTTTCATTCAGATTTGAATTGCTATTCTCAAGTGCTGTGGAAATCGGGAGGTTCAAATGAATATAAAGATTTATTGCAAGCTAAAGCTCTGTACAAGAATCCGAACTACTAATAGTCAAAGGAAATTAGCAGGAGTTAAAAAAAGGAATTCAAGGTGGGCTGGGCTTAGATCTCTTGTGGGCACGCAAGGACTCATGACTGATGACACGTTCAACCCCTCCATCAGGCTTAGTCTTACAGTCATCATCAGATCAGAGTCTCCAAATCCATTCAGAGAAATCCAATTCAAGGAAGAATCAATCTGATTTGGAAAGTTGGGGGATTTGATTGAGCTTCCTTGATAAGACATAGAACATAGAATCCTAGGGCTGGAAGAGACTTCAGAGGTCTTCTAGTCCACCCTCCTGCTCATGGCAGGAGACCTTATCCCATCTTAGTCAAATGGTTGTCCAGTCCATTTTTGAAAGCCTCCAGCAATGGAGCACCAAGGATGGATCTCGGAATCAATGTGCTACAAAAGCCCCATGAAACAGGAATCCCATCCATGACGCTTCTACAAAACATAGAGAGTTTGGAAGTCTTTCTTCCTTGCCAAACACATAGGCTGAGATTTAGTATTTCCTTCCACACAGACTGAGCACAGACAGAGCCCATGTTCTCAGCGTAGTTTTCCATTTCTCTACATGGACCATTAGGGAGAAAACTGGCTCAAAACTCCTCTCCATGATGCTCCAGTTTGTTGCATACGGGAGTTTTAAATTTTTGCAAGGAGGCAAGGCAAGGAAGAGGGTTCTGGATATTAAATTTGTCCTTTAGGGTCTGGTCAACTGGGAAAATTCCCACACATTTTTCTTTCGCCCCCATCGCCTTTAGTTGCAGAATGGATTTTCTCTTTGGGAGACAAAGACATAGGGCTTGTGAGGTGTAAATGGCCATATGGAAAAAAGTGAAGAAAAATGAACCTTTCTTGCATGTTTTTTTAAAAATAAAACTCTCCCTTTTGTTATGATCTGGTTAACAGGGCCTCCCAGGTAATCCAGGTAAACCAGGACTGGACGGTCAAGAGGTACATTCAGTATTTTTTAAAGCAATTTAAAAGTGGTTGAGATGTTGATGATATCACTGCAGGACTCGCTCTGATCTTCCCCCTGAATTCAAGTCTTTATGTTTGCAGGGAAAGATCGGCGAAATGGGAGAAACCGGATCTCGTGGCTTCCCTGTAAGTGTCTTTGTCTTGCTTCATAACATAATTAATACCCCGTTTCCCCGAAAATACAACCAACCCTGAAAGTAAGTCCTAGCTTGATTTTTTTACACGTGTACACAATATAAGCCCTACCCCCCCCAAAAATAAGCCCTAATTAAGATCCTGCCCATTCCAGAGTGGACAGGTAAAAATTAAACTAGGGTGGGAATGGGAGGGTGGATCCGCCCTACTACTTACCTTTGAACAATTGTAGCCAGGCCTTCGCACACCTCGACACCTGCCTCACTGACCCATTTTTTCGGGCAAGGCTGGCAAGGCTTTCCTAAAGGCTTCTGTTGCTAGTAACCAAGCTCTGGATCGATCCAGAGCTCTGTTATCGGCTGCAGAGTCCTTGCCGGCCACAGAAGAATTTCCTGAAGGCCTCTGACAGCAAAAAGGAGGCCAGGGGCGATGCACGCAAGTGAGGTTAAGTCAGTGGATTGCACCCCTTGAAAATAAGACCCGGTGCCGTTTTTGGTGGCAATATATATAAGACCGGGTCTTATTTTCGGGGAAACACGATATTTTATCAGAGACGGTAGTGGAGAGAATCCATATGAGCTTATTTCCACCATTTATGACTTTGATCCAGGCTAGTAAAGTTGAATTAGGGAAATTTCTCTCCACCTTCCTTGAATTGCCATTTTTTTTTATTTTTTTCCTTCTTCTTTCTTTTCTTCCCTTGGGTTGATTTCTGATTTTCACCCTCATTGAAAAGCTTCTTTCATCCCACTTCTGTATTACTTTGGAATTTTTTTTTTCTTTTAAAGTTCTCATTCAATTTGGTGCCTTTTCCTCCCATTCAGTTTTGCTTTATGCGCAAAAGATTTCAAAAGCAAATTTCCCTGCTGATATAATTAACTTTCCTGCGTTATTTGTAATTATAGTGGTGGCTTTGAAAAGTAATTCTTTTTTTTTTTTTTAACCTCCCCTCTGCTCGGTTATAAAGATGAATTACTTAATTTGGAGAAGTGGAAAACCTGAAGGGCAAATTACATTTGTGAGAGAAGTTGCATCTCGTTTAGAGCTTGGTCTCTTCATTGGCTGGTTTCATTGTAGGGCATCCAAGGATCTTCTGGACCCCAAGGAGCAAAAGGGCCTCCTGGAGACTTGGCAAGTACCACAAATGAACCTCTATTTTTGTTTCCACTCCTGTACACTCTTCAACCCCACTCTTGATTATTCCTATATGAGCAGCTTGGGGAGAAGCCATGTAGAAGAACTTGAGAAATCTTCTTCAAAGGAACCTCAGCACTGTTGCATTTCTTTCTGCTTGGTCCGTTCCCTTAGCATTTTAGCCAAAATGAGGTCTTCTTTGAAGACCTTCTCTGAAGACAAGAAGAGGGCTTCTCTGAAGAAGATGCATTTCTTTCTGCTTGGTCCATTTCCTTAACATTTTGGCCAACATGAGGTCTTCTCTGAAGATGCCAGAAG